AGTACCCTTATTATTCGTTCATGTGTAAAAACAAAAATGTACATGCTTTTTTCGCCGCGCACTGTATTAATTATCCATACCTTGAAATGTCTCTATGCCCTCGAGAAAATATTTATGACAACAAGTTTTCACTATTTTGTAGCAATTTATTTCAGTATTGCATATTAATCTTCTGGCTATATCATAGTTGTACCAATGGCTCTCGATGGAGGATAACATGTTATGCTCTCATATAATTGGAATAGCAAAGCTGTTGTATCCAAAATTTACGATATTCTAGTTGGTGAAGGTATTGAAGTTTGGATGGATGTAAATGGAGGTATGGGTGATAACATAAACATCAGGTATGGCTTTGAATAGGGCTGTTCTCCTCTTAATGCTTAAATTTATGATGTTCTTTCTATTAGTATGGCTGAAGGAGTAGAAAACGCTGCAGTGGTTTGTTGTTTTATGACACCAGATTATCAGAAATCACATAATTGTCGAAAGGAATTGGAATACGCTGATAAAAAACAAAAACGTATCATTTCATGTATGATCGGTGACAAAAATGAACCGAAATGGCAACCTTCTAGTTGGTTAGGATTGATAACATCTGGGATTCAATATGTAAACTTTCGAGACGACTCTGACTCAAACATTCGATTGAAAGCAAGAGAACTTATTGATAGAATAAAAAATCAATCTTCAACTGCTGTACTAGAATCAATGCCACCACCTGTAGAGTTATTTGAATCGATCAGACAAAAATATCTACAGGAAGATTGCATCAAACTTATGGTGAATGAGGAAAAAAGTTTCCCGATTGAACAGAGTTACATTAATTTGACTATGGTAGAAACAAAAGAGCAGCAAGAAAAAGAAAAGAAGCTAAAACAACAAGATCAGAGCACGAAAGAAGAAGTAACCGGACGGGTCTTCAATTCGAAGCAGCAGAATCATGAGATCCTCGGCACTTTTGAGGAGATTTATGGAACCAAGACCTCCATTGACATCAAGGACATTTTTCAGAAATGCAAAGACAAGACAAAAAAAGTTCTCGTGCTTGGAAGAGCTGGAATTGGAAAATCAACATTCTGTCAATATGTTACTTACCGATGGGCAAAAGGTCAACTTTGGCCTGAATATGAGCTAGTTGTTTTGATTCGTTTACGAAAGTTGACAGACACTCGGTATCCACCAGGAAAAGAATATTCACCATTTGATATATTGAAGAAAGAATATTCTCCCTATGATGATTTATCAAAGGAAGAAAAGCAACACTTCAACGAACAATGTAAAAAGGGCAAAGTTCTTTGGATATTAGATGGTTACGATGAATTTGCTCAAAACATTCCCGCACAATTAAAAGACGTATTCGACCATGTGCGTGAGACACAACATCATATCTTGACATCTCGTCCTTATGCTATTGCATTGCCATATGAGGCGAAAACGGAAATAATAGGATTCACAGATGATAATATTGCCAAGTATGTCGAGCAATTCTTTGATCAGATTAAAGATGAAATACCCAATACACCCGTCGAAATCGTGAAACTTTTACGCTTCTTGGAATCCAATCCCAGTATTTGGGGTGTTTCTCACATTCCTGTAAATCTAGAATTGATATGTAGCCTTTGGAGTAACACATATTGCTCAGAAACCACAATATCGACAATGACGGTATTGTATGATAATATAATAGAATGGCTATCTCGACGATACTTGACAAAACAAAATATAAAGCATGCAGATGTCACAAAGCAAGCTGTTTATAAACAATGTAATACGCAGTTGGAATTTTTAGAACATTTAGCTTTCAGAGCAATGGAACTTAACAAACTAATATTGCCACCAGAACTTCTTGAGGAAACAGAACGAGAGTGCCCCTTAGATCAGTATGGACTAGTATTGAATTTTGGCATTCTCAAGTCATATGATGATAAGGCTACTGGGGAGAGCAATCCAGTGAAGAAACAACATTATTTTGTACATCTCAGCTTTCAAGAACATTTCGCAGCACGTCACTTACTAAAACTTCTCAAGAATTCTAATAATCAAAAAGCAATCGATTTTATCAACAATAATAAGTACGATCAACGTTTTCGTCTCATCTTTATTTTTGCTTCAGGTCTTCTCGCACAATCCAATTATCAATCAGTTATCCACACTTTTTGGAAGACTATACAAGGAGAACCATTAGATCTTGTCGGATTACAGCATATTAAACTTGTCATTGAATGTATCGCTGAGCTCGTAGATCAGACACTATTCTTCTCCCAGCGAGATGCATGTCTAAAATCAATATCTCAATGGATAGCTATCTGTGCGAGTCAAAAACCTAAGATAATTACACAAAATCTATTACAAGCACTTAAATGTGCCAACGCTTTAGTGAATATAACACTAATACAAGACACTTTCATTCAACTGTTGCAATCAAAAAACAAACATACAAAACGCAACATATCTGAAATCCTATCCGAACTACATATATTCAAGCCCACACCCAGACTGCTAACAACACTCACCGCTTCCATGCATGATGAAGATTCCGATGTCCGATGGAACGCATGTAGAGCACTCGAAAAAATGGGTGAAAAAGCACCGACGAATGAGGTGATCAATGCTCTGCTCAATGCAATGCTTGATAAAAATTTCAATGTCCGATCTCAGGCGTGTAAAGTACTCGAAGAAATGGGTGAAAAAGCAGCAGCGACAAATGAGGTGATCAATACTCTGCTCAATGCAATGCATGATAAAAATTTCAATGTCCGATCTCAGGCGTGTAAAGTACTCGTAAAAATGGGTGAAAAAGCAGCGAGGAATGAGGTGATCAATGCTCTGCTCAATGCAATGCATGATAAAGATTACCGTGTCCGATCTCAGGCGTGTGAAGCACTCGGAAAAATGGGTGAAAAAGTAGCGACGAATGAGATGATCAATGCTCTGGGCAATGCAATGCATGATGAAAACTACTTTGTCCGAAGAGAGGCGTGTGAAGCACTCGGAAAAATGGGTGAAAAAGCAGCGACAAATGAGGTGATCAATGCTCTACTCAATGCAATGCATGATAAACATTCCGATGTCCGATCTCAGGCGTGTAAAGCACTCGGAAATATGGGTGAAAAAGCAGCAATGAATGAGGTGATCAATGCTCTGCTCAATGCAATGCATGATAAAAATTCCGATGTCCGATCTCAGGCGTGTGAAGCACTCGGAAAAATGGGTGAAAAAGCAGCGACAAATGAGATGATCAATGCTCTGGGCAATGCAATGCGTGATAAAAATTCCGATGTCCGAAGAAAGGTGTGTGAAGCACTCGGAAATATGGGTGAAAAAGCAGCAACGAATGAGGTGATCAATGCTCTGCTCAATGCAATGCATGATAAAGAATACCGTGTCCGATCTCAGGCGTATGAAGCACTCGGAAAAATGGATGGAAAAGCAGCGACGAATGACGTGATTAATGCTCTGTTGGATGCATTTTCTGATACGACAGATCATAAGGATTACTGGATTGCTTCGACTCTTGAAAAGACCATTTCTTCTAATGAAGGAATAAAACATTTGACTTCGGAGAGAATTTCGAAATTGTACGCCTTTTTCCAACGGTTTGAGGATATCAACTTGGCACGGATGGCTTCGGAACATTTGATTAATGCGTATATGGATTCAGGAAATGATGCATGGTTATTTTTGGTTACGTATGCAGCACTGATACAAGGAATAGCTGTCACCGCTGTTCGGAATAAAATCGGGATCTACAATTTTAACGGGCTATTGGAATTAGACAGATCACGCTCTCAATTGATGAATAATGTGGTAGAAGCTTTTAGGTGTCAGAGGAGAGAACTGGAAGGCGTATCTATAGCGCTGCCTGAAGTTGATAACAAGGTGATAGAGTGAATTTCAGTCGATGGGGTTTTGTGATATTGAATTCCAGTTACTTAGACTAAATGATTACTTGATGTTATTATTGATTATGAATTATTGCAGTTTCATGTGGTTGCTTTCGTTTCGAGTGCTTTTGATTGTTTGAATTCTCTAATCAAGAAAAAAGCATCTGATGAACTTTTTGATTTTGCATGTGTCAAGCGGACGCTGGATCATGGTGTAGGTGTGTGGGTGTGAGTGTGTGTAGAATAGTGACCGTCCCACGAGAAATGGCATTTGTTTCTATTTTGCTCGGAAACATCATCAGGTGGATCATCTCAAATTTTTTGGTATTATAACATTTTTCGAGTAGTTTCAATAATTAGAGAAGATGAGTATAACATGGAAACTAATCTGATACAATAATCTTTATTTAGTTTTGTACATTAAACCTTTTACAGAATTAACAATATATAATCATCATGAAACCCAATAAAAGGGAAAGAATAACACATATTTGTCTATATCTATTTGTGGATGATTCAACATATATTTTAGCAAAGACTTTCTATACACATATATACATATGTGTGTGTATAGAATAGTGAGGGCGTGCGTGTGTGAGTGTGTATTATGCTTAAGAGATACTACGACTATAGTTTCGACATTTCTCAAGGGTTAATCCGCAGGTAGTTTGAGCACTGCATAATTTTATAGATTAAGGATGTGGGTGGGGCGTGGGTGTGCGTGTGGGTGTGGTGTGGGTGTGGGTGTGGAGTGTGGGTGTGTGGGTGTGGGTGTGGGTGTGGATGTGGGTGTGGGTGTGGGGTGTGGGTGTGGGTGTGGGTGTGGGTGTGGGTGTGGGTGTGGGTGTGAGTGTGTGGGTGTGGGCGTGAGTGTGTGGGTGTGGGCGTGAGTGTGTGGGTGTGGGCGTGGGTGTGGGTGTGGATGTGGGTGGGTGTGGGTGTAGGTAGGGTGTGGGTGTGAGTGTGTGGGGTGTGTGGGGGTGTGGGTGTGCGTGGGGGTGTGGGTGTGGGTGTGGGTATGAAAGAATTAAAGATTCACACCCACACCGACACCCTACATATTACCCACTACTCTTACTGAAAAATTGAAAAAAAATATCGCAAATTATTTTTAAATTAAATGGCAATAAAAATTTTCTTATAGTACATGCAACCGGCGACAAATGACCAAAAGATTGCACCATAGAGATGCATAGCAATTTGTTCAGCATGAGTGTTATTGACTTCGAACTGCACTGGAAAACTGCCCCCAAATCGACCATGACATATGTAGATAACAATTGAATTCATGCCCAACCAGAGGAAAGGAGCACCAGTAAACCATTGACGAACATCGACAACAAGATAGAGAATAGTAAGAATCATAAAAGCTAAACTGGCTAAAATGAATACAAATGTCAATGACCATAGGTTTTTATTAATTGGAATCAAACTATCTGAATGACCACCATGTGATAAACCTAAACCAAGACAACCACAAATGATACTTGACACAATCCAATGGACACAAACACGACGAACACGAGTTGAATGAACGAAACTATGACCAGCTTGTACACCGAGATAACAGAGAAAAATTCCAGTCAAAATACCCATAATACCTTAAGAAACAAAATATTTATTGAATTATTATTATTATTATTATCACATTTGTTTGCACTGCAAATTTTGAAAAATCGGAGTATAACAGAACTAACCGAAAACTTTTTCTACAACTACTAGTTAAAAACTTGTTGCAACTAGACAAAGATGATTTTTCTTGACTTCTTATTAAAACAATAAAGGCAAATTTATTTTTACCTTCCGGATCATAAGGTATTTTAGTAGAATAGATTTCTTTACAAGTTGGTTGATCGTACAAATGAGAATTTCCTAAAATGACTCGATCAATATATCCAGCAGCTCCTACAAAGAAATAATAAAAGAATAGATGAATTCATTCTCTATTGTATGTAATAATAACCTCCAGTACAATTCCAATATTTTCCATGATCATGTTTCCCACCAGGACCCAAATATCCAGTTGGACAATTGGGAACAGGAAGAAGAAATGTGATAAGAATCCAAGCAATAATAATCAATATAACAAAGAGCCATTGTATCCAATACTGAAAAACACTTTTAAATAACTCAATGCGTAATGGCTGTTCTATGTTGTCGCCTGGAAAATAAAGATTGTTGTCATAGGACAAAAAAAAAACATTTATGTATTTTTACCAATAGGCAATCGTGTTGTGTCTCGTTCATCATCTTTCTTTTCAAAGACAAGAACAAGTATGGCCGTAAAAAAATAACATGTAGCTAGTCGTTGAAGAACCCCAAAAATTCGAAGATTTCTAAGTGTTGGTAAATCACTTTGTCCAGAAAGTCCTACGCATTGTATTAACAATTTTCAAATGAGTATCAATAAAAAAGAAAACAGTTTTAAGATTTGTGATTTACCCAGAACGAAAAGAATGATTGTTCTTCGATAAATTTTCAGGAAAATATTTCGTTTTGGTATATTTTTTGAACGAAGTGATCGTTGAGAGAGAACAATTGAAACACCCATCATCCAGGCAAACCAAGGAAAGACAAGATCGGCCAATGTCAATCCATTCCATACTACAAAAACAATGAGAATCCATCTTTCAATAGAAATAAGAATTTTTCTTTTGTTTAACTCACTTGAATGATCAAAAAACCAATAACCACCACCTGTAAAAAAAACCAAAAATAAATAATCTCAAGCATCAATTCGATGGAATTCACACTTGAGATCTGAGAGATAACAAAATTCTTGAGTTGTGTTCTACATTGAAGACAAAAGGAGAACTACTGAGAACCAGCTTAAAATTTTTGATTACATTACTGGAAAGTTGAGAGAATAGATCTTAAGATTTAGATCACTTAAAGTTCATTTATCACTCATTTAGAATGAATCCACTATCATTAAAACATGAGCAGGTTGATAATCAGAACAGAGAGATATATGACGTCTAGGGTAGATTATAGCAGAATTGCATTTTTGCTTTCAGTTTCAAAAAGTTGATGAATTTTGGAAATTGGATAATAGAAATAGTGAGTATTTTGGTCTTCAATCATGTTCCATTAAAGTATTTAAGTATTGTAGAAAGAAAGCTGAAGAAAGCTACGTGGTTTTTTTCATTAATTTTCAGCGATCAAAAGGTATGATTAAACTATTTTTGCAGATTGCAAAATTTTTTTTTTACCAAACTACACAAGTCTCTTTACTAGAAACTCAAGAAAGAACCGTTCATGAGACAGCAGACAAGAGTTCAGTTTCACTATCTTCTCTCTCCTCATTAAAATTCTTTCCATTTCGAGATGAGATATAGAATACATACCACCATAGTTGACAAAAATCATAACCATAAGTGAAAATCCTCGAAAAGTATCCAAAGCATGAAGACGTTTCGACAAAACTCGCTTAACAGGAGTCTTATTGTTGGACAACTGTGTTAAGCTACCCAATGGCAATTTACTCTTGCTAGCAGCAATGCGAATAACATCTTCATCTGATACATTTATATTTTGTTGTTGTATGTTTTCTGGTGAACCTTGTGGTATTGTTCCAAGATTATCATTGATTAATCGTTGATGTGAATTATTTCTACGAAAATAATCAAAATATCGACTACGATAAAAATAATGCCAGAATTGAACCAAAACTGTATACAAGATAACGAATATAATAGCAAGAATAGCAGGTGTCCAATAGTAGCTCGGATTTCCAACTTGTTTTATAGAACAGACATCTGTAGTTGATGTATTCTGCATTATATCGAGTATGTATGTACCATGTTCAGCAAATTTGTATGATGCAATCTGGCATAGTAAAGATTTGTTAGATGACAATGATCGAAGTTCCAAATTATAAGCATATTTTGTGTCAATAATTAAAGTAGCATTTTGATTTGAAATAGCTACGATCATTTTTTCGAGATCACAACTTTCACATACAATTTTATTGCCAAACAATGCAATATTATTTGAATAATTCCTATTACGTACAATTAAATAGGCTTCGTCCATGGACAACGGCTCTGAAAGATCATTTTTAACAGTTTGTCTTTTGAGAGAGATGCCTTGGGTAAAAGACATTCCAATAATAAAAATAATCAAAACTGAATAACCAATGATCATCGTTCACCGATTGTCTAAAAAAATTAAGAATAACATAACAGCTTGTCCTAGATAGGATAGGGTAAATATTTAAGTAAGAAGTATTTTACGGTAGGCGTTTGAACAGAATTTCTCTCTAAGATAGAACGGTGAAATGTTATTTTGTATCATTTTTAAGTTTAAATAGGGCCCATTTTGGTCAATTTGAGGACGGTCTTATCTCTATTTTTCTTTTGAAAACAAAGGACCTTCTGTTATCTTGCATATATCTACGTCTCGCAAAAGGATAAGTCATGTTACAAAGAGATTTTTGTCAGTTTCATTTTAAAAAGGTAAATAACGAACTACTTTATGTTTATATCAGATCCACATCTAAAACAACAGTCAGCAGTATCAACACAAATTTAAGCAGATCATATAAAACATATTGTGAATGCATTCATAGCTTCTAAGAATACAAATCAATTTTAATTATGTTTTCGCTTTTCTTTATACTTCTTTCTTTTTTGTCTGTGCGGAAAAAGAGCACTGGTACAAATGATTCCATATCAACCAGTTGTATAAGATCTCTCCAATAATGTAAAAAATCATAAAAAACGAAGAATAAAAGATAAAAATAGATGTTGGTTATAGAGATGTTCATCAAGATATGGGATATTCCCTCAGGTCTTTACCATGTTTACATCGACCATTCTCAAATCGCATGAAACTTTCAGGATTTGTAGATCATCTTGACCTAATCTTATCTGTAACATCAATTTCTAAATTTCATTTCCAAATTTGTGCATGTAGAAGAGGATATGTGACACAAGTTTTGTCTATAACCATAAAAATTAGGATGTTTTCAAAAATGCTTTTCATACAAGAGTTTTTCGAATTCAATGAATAAAGCCTTAACTTGTTTTAGATTTTGTTTCGTTGTCTATTTTTTTTTCTTATTTCTGAGGGATTACTTTGAGAATAGTATTCAAGTTTTAATAATAATGATATACTAATCAACAGAAATAGATCAATGGAATTGATTGCAAGGTGGGAGCAATTTGAGGTTTGTATAAACTGATGAAATCTGTTAATTCTACTTGTGTTTGCAATAAAATTTTTTTCGTATTTCCAAGATTAGAATGGAATCACTAGAAAATAGAAGCGTAATATTGAGTATCAATTGCTGAAATGATCATCCTCAGAAAAATATCATTCAAAACAACATTGTTTGTATGTAAGAAGTGATGAACTACAATCTTTATTCATTATGATTTCGAATTTTTTTAATTTATATGATATCGAGTATTGTTTTATTTTAGTCTAACATATCTCATAATTATTTCATTTATCAATGAATTTCTTCGAGAAATTCGCAGTGTCTCAATATGATCAATGTTCGATGAATAGGAAATGAGGGTGGGTGTGAGTGTGGATGTTGTATTCCTCCTCAGCCCACAGCCACCCACACGCCATCCCCACACCCACACCCACCCTCAAATAGACTTAATTCATCATTTTGGATTGAACGACGATGGAGATTTGAAACTAAAATCGAAGGTGGACACTGCTTGTATTCAGTTGGTCCATATAAATACAGTGGCTTCAAAAATTATTGGCCCACCTGTATTTTCGACTTTTTCTCACACCATATGTGCTAAAAGAAATCCAAACTAGTGATTTGGACAGAGAAAATTATTTCCTACAAGAATATCATATCCTCAAAACTCCCAAGGATTTCTGAAAAACAGGGGTTCTAGAAAACCAAAACTCCGATTTTTCAACATCTTGAAGCTGCGAAAAAAAATGATGTTACGTTAAAGTGCAACTGTAGATTAGTCAATTCTCTACAAAATGAGACGTCCCCGAGCTCTGCACGACTTTTCCTTAAAAAGTTATACGTGTCACAAAAATCGAAAAAACGCGTTTTTTAGCGGTGTTTCGGAGAAATGTCCCATTTTTTTCGATTTTTGTGACACGTATTACTTTTTAAGGGAAAGTCGTACAGAGTTCGGGGACGTCTCATTTTGTAGAGAATTGACTAATCTACAGTTGCATTTTAACATAATATCATTTTTTTTCGGGTGTGGGTGTGTGGGTGTGTGTGGGTGTGTGGGTGTGGGTGTGGGTGTGGGTGTGGGTGTGGGTGTGTGGGTGTGGGTGTGGGTGTGGG